ATGGACACAGTTTGATTACTGTTCTAGAGTAGGTATTTTATCTTTGATATTACTGGGAAGCAGAACAGGTCAATAATATGGAATGATGAATAATATGGAATTGCAGGTCTTAAGTCTTCTGATCCTGTGTGCAAAAATATCAAAAGGCATTGGTGTGGTACTGGGTTGCTGGATGCTCTTAAAACCTGAAGTTTAACAGATAAATCCCCCCAAATTCTCAGCCAAAAGAAAACTTTAATATTTATATTCAGTATTTGAAATCCTAAATATTTAAAATCTCTTCAGAATAATTAAACAGTAACATATTTTCTCTCATCTTAAACATAAAAGAGTTTGTTTTGATAGCCACAAGAATAAAGAAAGTGAGAAATGGCTTTAAATAATGACTTTTTAAATATTATTGTCATATTCAAGATGCTAAAAATAAAGTGACCATAGCCTTTCTTACTGAAGTAAGTTAATGTTTATCACTATTTTAGATTGCATAAGTTTTCCTGTAAATTATAAATTTGGCCTGCTCAAAAAGAATCAGGCTTAGAAATGCCAGTAGAATTAATTTACCATCCTTCTTAAAAATCCATTCAACAGCACACTTGTACTAAGCTACTAAATCATTATTTATGAAGCTATCTCTGTTCAGCTGAATATAATGAATATATTTTCAAACAAAAAAGATGAACAACTGAACATTTTTCATCAAATGGGAAAAACCTGAGGGACCAAATGGAACTCACCCTCCCTATGCAGTTTCATAGTGGGTTGGGTGAAATTCAAGGGGAAACACACTTGTAATAGAGAGGGATGCAGCAGAATAGTTGCACAGTGTGTTCACTGCACTCCTATCCCCCAGGAATTCTTCCTTGGAAACAGTAAAATTGTTTATAATACTAGACCATACAGGGCCAAAACAAATGAACAATTTACCACACAGCTGCTATTCCCTAGTCTCTCCAAATTTACTACAGTAACAGTGACTGAATTGGACTTTTTTGTGTTAGAGACTATAAGAACATATTGTTGCTTTCTAACACCTTACAGATTCTCTACTTATTTCAGGAACTTATAGTATCCCCTGGAAGAAAATAAATCAGTAATTTATCAAACAAATATCAAGCAAAAAGTACTCTCAGAAATAGTCCCTTTTCTTCTCATCAGCATATTAGCAAGTTTCTAGAGCAGACCCAGAAATTCTTGCATGAGATTTAAAAAAAAAAGAACTGAAATAGATTTTCTGTCATCCCACCTACACAAATCACACCCTCTACCCCCTTATTACAAAAATTATCATCCTTTACATAAATGGGTCAAGCCTAACTTTAAAGGTTTTCTGTTACAGGCAATTCTCATAAAATCTCACTACTTTGGTGGTTACAAAGTTGTCCTCAGCTGTACTCATTTCCACCTTAATTTAATTAATTTAATTTTCCTCTCTTTTCTTGTGTTAATAATAACTTTTAAAAAAGGTTTTGTTCCCTCACCTCACCTTCCCCTTATTCAATATATATCACACATAGAACATCTTTCCCTCTTTTTTCTACAAGGTACATTTTCCAACCATAAAAAAGTTATTTTCTGCTTATTTCTTGTATTGTGTCTATTCTAGTCTAAAATAGCCTTTTAGGGAAAGAATTAGCTTTTCGGAATTGCAAATATGCTTTTGACAGGGTCTTGTAAAGTTGTCAATTTGTCTTAATTTCTTCCACTCTTTGAAAGCTTGAAAATCTCTCCCAAAGTTTTGTGTATTATTATGGTCAGACTAATACTTTTTTAATTCTTTCCTATCAGTCATTATGGCCCTGTGCAGATCTGTTTGAAAATATAAGATTTACTATATCATTGCTTTTATAATTCAGTAACAAGTTTTGTCCAAATCCTAGAGCTTCAAAGTGAAAACCTCAGAAAAGACCTCCAAGATCATCAAGTACAACACTGTCAACCAGAGCATAGCACTGAGCCAGTTATTTCTTGACCACTTCCAGGGATGGTGACTCCACCCTGGGCAGCCTGTTCCAATGCTTGACCAGTCTTTTAGTGAAAAAAAAATCTTCCTGATATCCAGCCTGAACTTCAATAAGGTCTTTCTTCCCTGAGCCTCCTGTTCTCCAGGTTAACATCCCCATAAAACTCTGTAGACTCTTTACCAACTTCATTGCCCAGTGAATTAGTTTCTACTTCCATAGGACTGGGGATTTTTTGGTTTTTTTTTAGTCTTCCTATTACTTTCCTTGTATTCAGAATCCATGCATTTGTATCTTAGCATCACTGGGTGCCTTGTCACTGGCTTCTGAGGTACTACTAGCTTCAAGACCTTTCAATGTTCCCAAAGTGACTATTCCATGAGAAACGTATCCTCAAAAATCAAAACAGCAGCAAATACTCCATTTACTAATTTTCAAAGTGATTTGGAAAGCAGGTACTAAACGTGTGCAGAGCACCACTCTGGTATGTCTCACAGAATGGCTTGAGTTGGGAGGGACCTAAAAGTTCATTTATCCCAATCCCCCTGCTATAGGGACACCTTCACCTGGACCAGGTTGTTCAGAGCCCCAGTCCAACCTGGTCTTGGACACTTCCAGGGATGGGAGAGCCACAGCTTCTCTGGGCAACCTGTGCCAGGGCCTCATCACCCTCAAAGTAAAGAATTTTTTTTTGTTATATCCAATCTAAACCTCCTGTCTGTCAATTTGAAGACATTTCCCCTTGTTCTGTCACCCTGTGCCCTTATAATTAGTCTCTCTCCATCCAACTTTCTTGTAGGCTCCCATCAAGTATGCAACAAGAGTTGATTGGGATAAAATTCACCATAATTATTAGTTTTATCTCCACGCAGTCATGTCCATGTAAGATCAGCCACTCACTAGCTTGAAAATGTTCATTAGTCAGAAAGCACTTTAACTTACTGTCATCCAAATTATTTTTAAGTTCCTTGAAATGTATTTACTCAAAGTTAGAAGCATTTCCTCCTTTTTACTGAACACAGACATGTAAAAAGCATTATTGAAATATAATTGCCAGGATTTGGGAAAACCATAATACTGTAAGTGGAAAGCAATACTCTAATAATAAAGTAAATAAAATTTGCAAAAAAATTTAGAAAGTAAAATCTGAATAAAAGAAAACAGTAATCCAGAAACATAAAAGCAGACAGAGAGAACATGAAATGCATGTAGGTACAATTGAAGATGTTCACAATTTGCCAAGCATTTCCTGATAAGAGGAAGGTGCATTTCATGCTAATGCAGATGAATATCCAGAAATGTCACAATGGGAAAAGATTTGAAGAACAAAAACAACCTATCAGCTGTCTTTAAATCTTGATTTTTTTATGTTGCCTTCTTATTTTAGGAAATGCTCACCCATAATAGTACATCAAGGTAGCTGTTGTCAACAAGAGTGACTTTCATTGCATTTTTATCTTTACTGGGTCTATATTATTACTAATTCAACTTAAAAATGCAATTTATTAATAACCAAAAGCAGTTCTATGACATAATTCAAACATTTTCCCTGAGGAAAAATATCATGTTTCTTCTTTTGAACTTTTCTAAGTGAAGGTTAATATAAAATAATACTTTTAAAATAACAGAAAGACATTAAATGCTAAAGCAGTCTCATAACTCTGAGTGCCATTTATGCCTCTGCCCCAACAGTGTCTCAAATGAAAAGTTCACATTATAGATATGTGACCCTCTGCAAAATCAATGCTGTGTGGTAGAATATGGAGCTAAAACAATTAAATGTATGTTCTAAATGTCACTCTGATTCTGATCTTTTCATAGCCTGCAATGATTAATCTTAAAATAAAAAAAAAATCTGAGTTTGAAAATCAGTCTGAACTTCATCAAAGGAGACAAATACAGCAGGAAAACACATCCTTTAATGATTATTTTATGTGGTACCTTTCTAAATTCCAGGAAAAATGGAAAAATGCACATTTTTAGTACCAGTTTAAAATATATATATATTTGCATCCACACTATAACAAAAATATTGGCATTAAAATATTATTGAAGGAAAATGAAAAGGAAATAAATTAAAATAAAAATGAAGGGAAGGGAAGGGAAGGGAAGGGAAGGGAAGGGAAGGGAAGGGAAGGGAAGGGAAGGGAATTCTTTCCAGATAAAACTTTTATTTGTGTGAACCAAAGGAAAAAAAGAATGAATTTTCAGGTTTTTTTTTTGTTTAATTCTTTTTCTGCCCATTACTCTTGAAGAAAATAAAAGAAGGAAGAAAAAGTGAGAAATGTAAGTATGTTTTCTCTTAAAATAAAATTTCTGTTGTCAGGCATTTTGATTACAGTCACTATCAATAAAAATATAAATTATGTCTACTTATTAGCTATTTCAAGTATCATGTGCAATAGTTATCAAACAGCTTGGTATAAATTTTTAAATTATTTTTAGAGCTATGTAAAGCAACACAATTTTACCCTTTTGATGTATTTTTACATATTTATATAGGAATCCATATGGAAAATATTACTCATTCCACAAATTAAAACTCCATCTCTTCAAATGTTAAGTGCTATTCTTTTTGAGTTGCATTTCCAGGGAATTAAATGGTTCTGACAGAGGGCTGAAATGAAGCAGTAAACACATTCTAAGAGATTATCTATACTATTGTGGATAATATTTTTTTCTTAGAAAATAGGCATGGATTTTGTTCATAATTTATTCCATAGGAAAATGTTAACTATTATTTAGTCTTTGGATATCATTAACACTGATTGTAAATGCTTAGTTCTTGTATTTCTGAATATAAACTACAGTGACTCTTAAGCTATTTGTGCATCCCTGTTTTCTTTGGCGTCTCAAAATTAGCTTTTCTTTAGGTACAAGCTCAGACTGACATGATGCAATTTTACATAAACTACTGTGATATTGGAATAGATTTTTAAAGTAAGTAGTATTTGATAAAGAAATGTTTATTGATTATATTGGTATTTTTATGTTTTTAATGTTTCGCTATTTTTTTAGCTTTGCTTTGAATATAAAATGACCACACAATGTAGCTTACAAGTCCTTCAGATTCTTGGCAAGCAAATCCAGTGCCTCAGACAGCCCCAGCACTCCTGACCTGGACCTTTTAAAGACAGAATGTATAAAGAAAGCAACTGACAGCATTCTAACTCAAAATTAAAGCCTTTGTTCTTGGGAATGTGCTAAAATGGATTCACCCAGGTACTTATAATATATTCTTTTAACAGTAGAAGATGGTAATCACAATGAAAGAAATAGACTGAAGGAAACAAACAGTAATAAAAATCTGTGTGAAACTAAAAAATGCTTGACCTATGTTGAGCATTTCAGTACTACCTCGAGGGAGAGAAAGAAGTGTCAGTGGAAACACAAAAAATGAGCATACACATGCAAAATTTAGAGTTTTACCCATTCACATGGATGAGACTGAAAAAAAAGGTTTTCCCATAGCACAGAAACAACTTAATTCAAACAGATGTGTCCTACTTATGGTGTGCACTGTCTCCATCCCACATCAATGGAATTAGGCTACAAAAAGATAATTAATTTTAAAATAAATTTACTTTTTAAAACCAAATATTCCTGATCCTTCTCACTGAGTTGTGCATGAATAGAACAGGGACAGGGTTTTTTTTTTTTTTTTTTTTTCACAATGGCTGAGAGCCTGAGATACTTTGAAGTGCTAAGTGATTTCCTTTTAACTCAAAAATGAGAGAGTAGAGAGGCTCTGTTGTTTGCCCAGTCCTGGATGGCTCAGGCTTTTGTTACAAAACTTTCATACCTCTCCAGGTGTCTCAAAGTACCTAATGAAATTTTGAAAAGGCTCTATATCTGAGTTCATACTTTTTGTGATCTTCGGAAAAACTTTGTCTTCAATAATAATTCTGAAAGAGATTTAACTTTGGTATTTTATAAAGCCACTTCTAAAGGATGAAGATATTATTAGCTATTTAAACTGTTAGGACAATTGTCAAAGTAGTTCTAGGGTGAAAAGGTGGGTCATTTCCACCAATTAAAGAAATTAGTTTGTCCAATATCAAAGTTGTTGTTTGATGTAGAAAATGGAAATTAAGATTGTTATTAACAGAGAATCTTAATGCAATTAGTTTGGCAAACCATGTATTGTCTGTAAATTCTATCTAAAAGTTAACAACACTGCCTAAAACAACACAAAAATTTTTCTTCTCCACATATTCACTCATCTGTTTTAAAATTGTTGCTTTTGAAAATCTCAAAATCAGAAGAAAAAACTGGGTAGGAGCAGAAGGATTTTTATACTTAAGTACTGCAGAATCTTCAACATTTAGGTAAGGATTTGAGTTTTTAAGAAGAAATTCTGCCTCATTAGTCTAATGTTACCCAAAATGTACAGTTTTAAGTTCAAAATAGAAAACATTATTTATTTTTAAAGGTTAAATGTGTTGAAATGTCTCCTACTATAAGAATTGCATAGGAAACCAGTGAAAGCATAAGAAAACTGTTGTAGCAGCAACAGAGAAAGAAGTCTGTAATAGACAAGGAGATTAAAAGGGTGGCATCGTGGTGGGTACACTCAGATTATTAAAAGAGATCAGATGGCTCAGGAGAATGAAGATTTGATAAGGAAATTTTCATCTCTGTTTCTGGGTTCAGGATCTCACCTTTTTTTAAAAATTTTTTTTCTCTGTTAACCTTTTCACAGTATGTTGCAGAATGAGAAAACAGGAGAGCACCTGGGCAAGAGATCCCCCTGACTTGGTCTTATGCAGCTCCATGCAGCACTTTTGGGAAGGTGGCAGCAAGGGAATGACTGTGTCACATGGCTGGGAATGCAGACCTGTGCTAAGAATAAACTACTCTAAAATGAAAACAATTACATAGAGATGTAACCTTTGTGAAAGTCATAATGCTAGATTTTTTCATGTTATTTTCAAAGAGATAACTAACTAAGGAAGATAAATATGTGTTTTAAACTGTGTAATTTTCTGTACATTTGGTGGAGAGCACTCACTGTCTGAGACAGGAAACATTAAAAATATGTCTTTACTGTCTAGCTATAAACCCAGTAGTCTAATGATCATTAGACTAGAATTGCTTAATTCTAATTGTTAATTTGATGTATATCTGATTTCTCCCTCCTTTGTTATTGATAAATCTTCACCATCTTCTGTCCCCAAACCACAAACACAAGTTTCTAGGAAACTTAGCTTTTCACAGACCTAAAACCCATTAGTACAAGTCCTGTAATAGGAAAGAAAAAAAACCAAACAAACAAAAAATTCAGCACTGGTGAAATATGTGGCTATAAATACTGAAATATGTAGCTATAAATATTGTTACACCATGTCAAATAGGAACATTGCTTGGTGTCTGCATGTTAATCTCAAGATTAATTTTGTTATACAGTACAAACCCACTGCAATTCAAAGACTCTTCTTTACCTCTTAAAGCTCTGTTCCTAAAATATACATGTGCTAATGAAAAGTAGATCATGGTTTCCTTTCCATGGTAGATGATTGAGAGGCATGCACACTTTAATCTTGTTCAAAAAAGATAATCAACTAAATTTCCCTGAAGTGGTATATTATTTGTTTCTGTCTCTGTATGTGCAGGAATACATGTAGACATCACAGAATCACAGAACCACAGAATGGGTTGGACACTGCCAGAGACACTTTCCACTGCACCAGGTTGCTCACAGCTCCATCCAACTTGACCTTAAACACTCGATATCTTTCTGTGGTTGTGTCCCTGTGTTTATGTATGGAATTGATATTTAAAATTCCTCAAATGCATGTAACAGCTGTATTATTAAGAAACAGGTATAAGAATCTCAATGTCTATCCAATAGTTATTTTGCCAGTAATTTGCTTGAGGAAAATCAAAGGGCACAGGCAATAGTTATCAAACAAATAAAACATGAGTAGATCACATGAAGAACATCCAAGAACATCTCATCTTACAAACATAAGAACCTTTACTAGGCAAAATCAAGGAGGTCAACTATGGTGAATTAATTGTCATGGAAACAGCTGGGAAGCTAGAGGTTTCACTTCAGTACATAAACTTCACTAACATGACAGCTTAAGTATACTTTTAGAATGTCATATATTTAATTTCCTAGTAAGTACATTTAATTGCCAGCCTTCAAGAAAGTGCTTTCAGTAATTTCTTTTCAGAGAAATATTTGCATTTGTGTTTGAAAGCAACTGTATTGAATAAAGCACAGACTTTGGACTTTCAATACTTTTTTCTTTTCTTCTTCTGAAATAATCAGCCTGATACATTTTTTTTTGGTCAAGACATTTTCCCAGCCCATTTAAAAAATAATCTGTATTTTGAGATAAGTATACCAGGTAGCACTGGTGTTCCTTTTAGCTTATTATGAACAGGAACAAAATAATTGGAAATTCATTACTACTACTCTAAACACTGGCCTTTCTAGCACAGCTCTCTGTCTCCAGCAGCCACAAACTACCACCATACTTAGATAATTAGGAGATACTTAGGAGGAGTATGTTAGGCTATGTTTCCATGCCCACACATGCTTCAGAACCCATAAGAAATGCAGGGAGAGAAGGAATGATTCCTTGATTTCTCTGGGTCTTTGTGAAGACCCCACTGAGCACAACCACAGCAGGAGCTGCCTGTTCTCTAGGTCTTCTCTTGTACCACCTTTCCTATGCCAAGAAGAATCAAATACAGCTGCTGAAACCTTCCTCCATCAGGAATCACCACTATTTTTATTGCCCACCTTCACAGCCATGAGCACCTGCACTGAACATCCTTCATCAGTATCCAAAGACACAGGTTGTAGCAGAAACTTCAGTGCAGGTGATTCACACTACAGAGAGAGACAGCAATTGCCACCATCAGACATTCCCTCACTTCTTGCACAGAAGGACTTCGGGAGAAGAGGAAGTGTCACTGCTAGAACTTTGAAATGGGCAAAAAGAGATGTGTCATATATGGAGCCAATAATCCATAAACAGTTCAATTACTGTCAAGTTTTCAAAATTGGGAAATCTTTAGTAATAATGTTAGTTACAATTATTTCTGTTTTTCAAAAGACTTTCCTTGTATCCAATGCTTTCCCCTGGAATTTTGTTCACCCTTCTGATGTCTCTCTGCATCCTGTATCATTTAGTATCATCCTTCACCAAAAATGGGGGTGTAAAGCAGAATTTGTGACAAGCTACTGTCTGTCTCTAGGTCTTTGTAATGAGGAACTGTGGTATTTGTACTGGGGTTTCCTTCTTCTCAGTCTTGGACTAGTCTCTTGGACCAGTCTCATCCAGACTTCTCCCTTGTCTCTGCTCTTAGGGAAGGGTGCAGTTTGACCCTAGAACCCTCCATATTCTGGGGGCTGATTATCCCACTGGGACTGCCTTCTGCACCCCAGCTCAGGCTTAGCACAGCCCAGCCAACCTCTCAAAAATTCTGGAAAGTGAGTTTCAAATTAAACTCTGACCAGCTCCAAAGTGTTCTGCAGTTTCATGAATAATTTTTTGGCATTCACCTCATCTGCTAGCTTCATGATTCTACACATCTGAGACTATGCCCTCTTAGACTTCTCCTCTGGGAGCAAAGATCTTTCCATCTCACAGTTTAAAACTGCTCCATCCTTTCAATCACAATCATTGCTCCATCCTTTCAATCACAATCATTGCTCTTATACTTTCCTGTACCTTCTCTTTATCTTCATAAACCCCTGAGATCAGAACTGTAAGTGGTTCTCAAGATGTGAATTTTCATGGCATGAAATCATAGAGGAAAAATTCAAGGAAAACTTCATTGACAGCTGGGTATTTTTTGGGTTTTGATTTGATTTTGATTTTGTCTTTTTACATAAGTAGAGTAGGCAAATAATGCCACAGCTAATTCAGTTTGGAACAAACTAAGTATTGCATGAATAGGAAAAAAACAGCTGTAAATTACTGAGTTCTAAGTCTAATTTCAATCGTAGCTCCAAAGCAAGCATCCAGGAGATATGACTATAAATTTAGCTTAAGGTTTGTGGTTTCCCAGCACACTGAAATGGCCCCATTAACACCGTGGTAACATTTGGAGAACTGGACAATATTGGAAACTCTAACTACACCCACTTATTTTCCCTAGCATAGAGATGGAGCATCTGGGCTCCCAGGGAAGTGGTTAAACTTCTTCCCAATTCAACTGGCATTTTCACAAATGCCTGAACAATTGTCTCATTATGTGCAAAACCAGATACTCTTAGGAAAACACTAGATTAATCACTATTCAAATATGATTCTAAATTATAGTAGGGTTGCAGCTGCTCACTTGCACCTATAAGGAAGAACAAGTTGCACAAAATACCCAAGACAAAAACAAGACACAAAGGTCTGTGCCAGAAAAATGCATTTCTCAGCCAGAGGTCCAAAATTTACACCTGCAATTTCTGGATAATCTGCTTTTGTTGAGGTTTCACAGGTTTGGCAGGGCATGTAGATAAGGAGGCAGCTTTCTGGGGATGATTCCTTAGAATGTGGGGTTCTTTAGCTCCACCTTGTATCTCTTACTTATCAAAGATCTCTGCAACTTTTCACTCTATTGAATTTTTTGAGTGCTGTCCTTCCTGAGTTTGTTTAGAAGTGTAAAGGGAATTGTTCTATAGAGATTTCTAAAAATGGATGTCCTGAACCAGTAAATCTTGCCCCAGTTCCATGCACATTAAATTCATTAGTTAGCTAACACAGTTTTCTAGATTTACCTCTTTCCCTCAAATATCTTAAGATTATTTTGTTTCACCAATATCTTCAATCTTTATTCTGTCTGCACAGGTGATATTAACAAGACCAGAAGTCATGTTAGCCAAACTCATTATCACAGATGATTCATTCTTTTCTTTCTTTATAGTCTCCTTTTTTATAGCTTTATAAATAGCTCATTGTCTTTTATGTGAGTCTGTATTTAAATGCTCACTTCAGTAATGACTGTTTCAATAATATGATGTGTTTTCAGTGAGAGCTCTGAATGCAAACTACAACAACACAGCAAAAAAAACATTTCTAATAACTCCAGGGATTCAATAGCCTTGATTTCCTGGGTGTAAAAAGTAATCATAAAACACCTGTTGCCAGATACCATTATGAATAATTTCAATATTCCTTGTACTGGCATTTTATTACTAGATTGTTTCTTGGAATAGCCCTTCAGCATCTTTCTATCAGCATCAGCACAGACTTGATTAATTTCAAGGCTGCCTGTCACCGAGCGGTTGATGGTTGAGGACACAGCTGGGCAATTGTATCTTTCTAACATTTTAATAACCAACTTGCCATTAGATTGCATTTGGCCTTCAGTAACATTCAGTGAGAAATGTCTTTGGGGTATCTGTTTTACAGACTTATTGGGAAAAGTTGCCTTTTTATGCTTACCAGGTTGTGTAGGTTTTGTAGCATTGCTTTTGAATGGCCATTAAGATGTGACATGGTTCTGCAAACCATGGAAAATAAATCAACTAAAAAGTGCAAATCTATGAGAGGGAAATGTTCCTGAAGAATTTTGTGTCACATACTTTCTTACATTTTATTTTTTACTAATTATTGCCTATACCTGTCAGAAGAAGAAGCAGGGACAGTCAAATAGAGCAGGTTTAAATGATAAAAGACTACACAGAAACTGAAAGATGCAAGTATCCTTTTTAGCTTTTATCAGAAAAGCTGTTTCAAGATGGAATCACAGTTCTGCAGAAAATGAACCACATGATGAAATCTTTCATTCTGCATTTAAATTCATGTAACAGGACAGCATTTCTGCACAGAAAACTAGCAAATTGTGTTCTGTTGGATTGCATATTTTTTCCACATCTTGTGACAAATGCAGTTCAAAAGTGAAGTCCAATCATATCTTCAGTTCTTTGTGAGAATTGATATCACATTATTTAAGATATTTTTAAAGAGTTAAACTATATGCAGTGAACTAAAAATTATAAAACTCTCATAATAGTGGTGGGGAGTAGATAACCAGAGAGCTGAAGTGGGAGGAAATTACTAGAAACCAGATACTGAAGTCCATAACAAATTAAACTTTTCCATGACAATTATTAGTTGTCAAGTTCTTCAATTTGTCTTCATCCAGCCTTTGTAATAAAAAGGACATTCTTTAAAAAAAATCCCAACAACTTTTAGCCAGTAGCTTTACAAGGTGTTGCTAAACAGAACAATTGGAAATTATCTTTGACAGAGCACTGTAACTGAGATTTATTGCCTTGACTTTATTGTACTCATGATCATCCTCATTTTTTTAGGCATTAAAAGAATACCAAAAATAAACTTACTCAATGGAAAAAGAGCTTCCTCAGAAGTGTAAGACTGGAAGATCTTGATTTTTAATTGGAAGATAAGGTGCATTGAATGGATCTACCATCCCAGTGAAAGACACAAAGAGATAGCAAAGCAATAATCTTTCATCACACCCATGGATATGACCTTTTTCCCCCTCTGGTCTGCTTGTGCATTGGCTACTGATGCAGATCATGACATGAGGTTTGGCACAGCTCTCCTCAGAGAGTTTGTCAAGAAGCTTCTGCAATGTGAGCTGTCTATTTGTCAGCCTTT